GGTGGCGGAACCGCCCGGACAATGGAAGCGGCTCCAGGTATACACCGCGGAGCCGAGGCCCTGGATCCCCAACCTGGGGCCCCAGCCTCCCGGTGAGGCTGGGCTTGACAGGCCCGCTTCCCCTCCTGCTTTCTCCTCCTCGCCCTCGGGGAGACGCTGTCCCCGGGACGCGCCCGTCTGGAGAGGAGCCGTCGGACCCCGGATCGTACGATTCCTCAAAAGGAGAGGCTCAGCAGTTCGCAGGTGCACCGTGCGGAGACGGGGAATCAGCGGCCCCCGGTGTGCGCGGGGACACCCTTTCGGGCCGGAGGCGCCCACGTTCGGGACCCTGAGAGCTGGAGGAGGTTTCCATCGGCTCCTGGAGCAGGCCTGGCAAACAGGTTCTGCCTCCCCACCGGGAGGACCCGGCAGAGGGCGGAGGATCTTCGCCCCCGCCCGGGCCTGGTGTCTGCGCCCTCCCCAGCGGCTGGGGCGTGGCCGGGCTCGGAGCATCCAGATACTCTGGGCGGCCCTTCAGCCCAGGCTCGGGAGAAGGGGGAGAAGTCGATGGACCCGAATACCTGGGTCCGGCATTGCGTTTGGGCGCCGGGTCTCCATGCTGTGGAGACTGGCCCTGGAGAGCCCGCCCGCGGGCCGGGGGCCGAGGAGGAGGGGGCCGGGCGCGGGTCCCCGGGTCTGGGGAGGGCGGGGGGGGGGGCGGGGGTTACCAGCTTAGCCTGGGGCGCCGGGGCGGGGGCGGGGCTCCGCCTCCGACCTACCTGCCCAGGTCGGGAGGGGCGGAGGCTGGGAGTCTCGGAACCGCGCCCATCTCCTTCCTCCCTCCCCCGAGCCCTAGGAGCCAGTCGGGGGAGGCGGCATGGAGGGGAGGGCTGCCGAGCCTAGGATCCCGGAGTCCCGGGTTCCGGGGGCGGCCGGATGTGGGCTGCACCTGCGGTCGGCGCGCTCCAGCCTCTCTAAGCCCGCTGTGGCTCTGTCACCCGCCAGGAGCTCAGGTGAGTGGGGCCGGAGGATGCCTGGGACCCAGGAATCGGGGCCTTCGGTCCCAGGAGGCGCAGCCCCAACCGCTAGCCCCGTAGGACCCCAGGAGTCTCCACCCCACCCCCCCCCAACTCCTGCTCGTCCAGAGGCCGAGATCCCTCATCCAGTCCCCGACCTCCAGCCTCTCATGTTCCACCTGGCCCCTCTCTTCCCGTCACCCCCATGGCGGAGTCCTCACCCTCCCTCCACCAGGCCCACCCCAGAGAGGAGTGGGTGGCACATCACCCAACTAAAGTGGGACTTCCCGGCCCGGAGAGCCAGCTTCCAAGGTGCGGATGTGGCAGGCCGGCTCCGAGACCCCGTTGCTATCTTGGAAACACCAGTTTTCGACACTCGCCGTCCCCATCTCTGCAGTTCCAAGCGCCCACCTCCCTCCCCTCCCTCAGATCCAGGCCCCTGATCCCCTTTCCCCGGGACCCAGGAGTCTCAAGCCTTGGTTTCCTCGTTCCCCCAGGCCCCTGCCCACGGACACTTCCTCCTGGGGCTCCGGGGCCCCGCTAATTCACCTTTCCTCCCGTGCAGCCATGTGGGCCCCCAGCCAACGGCAGCTCTGTGTGGCTTTCCTGCTAGTGTGTGTCCTTTCAGCCACCTTGTTCCTCTACGTCCACCAAGACCTCTTTCCCGACGGCCTGGCCCTGACGGCCCTGTGTCCAGGCCGCCGCCCGGTGCCATCCCCCGTGGCCATCCTCTGCCTGTCCCCCGACACCTCCGCCTGCCTCAAGCCCCCCGCCTCCCTCTCGGGAACCTGGACCATCCACCCAGACGGCCGGTTCGGTAACCAGATGGGGCAGTATGCCACGCTCCTGGCCCTGGCCCAGCTCAACAGTCGCCGGGCCTTCATCCTGCCCGCCATGCACGCCGCCCTGGCCCCCGTGTTCCGCATCACCCTGCCGGTGCTGGCGCCCGAGGTGGACAGCCGCACGCCCTGGCGGGAGCTGGAGCTCCACGACTGGATGTCCCGGGAGTATGCCCGCCTGAGGGACCCCTTGCTGAAGCTCACCGGCTTTCCCTGCTCCTGGACCTTCTTCCACCACCTCCGGGAGCAGATCCGCAGGGAATTCACGCTGCACGACCACCTTCGGCGAGAGGCCCAGGGTCTGCTGAGCCGGCTCCGCCTGGGCCCCACCGGGGACCGCCCTCGCACCTTCGTGGGCGTCCACGTGCGCCGCGGGGACTACCTGCGGGTCATGCCCCACCGCTGGAAGGGGGTGGTAGGCGACCGCGCTTACCTCCGGCAGGCTATGGACTGGTTCCGGGCACGGCACGAAGACCCCGTCTTTGTGGTCACCAGCAACGGCATGGAGTGGTGCCGGGAAAACATGGACACGTCCCGTGGGGATGTGATCTTTGCCGGCGACGGGCAGGAGGGCTCGCCGGGGAGGGACTTCGCGCTGCTCACGCAGTGCAACCACACCATCATGACCATTGGCACTTTTGGCTTCTGGGCCGCCTACCTGACCGGTGGGGACACCGTCTACCTGGCCAACTTCACCCTGCCCGACTCCAACTTCCTGAAGATCTTTAAGCCCGAGGCTGCCTTCTTGCCCGAGTGGGTGGGCATTAACGCAGACTTGTCTCCCCTCCGCTCGTTGGCTGGGCCTTGAGCAGCGGGGAGACTTTCTGGAATAGCTCGGGCCAGCGTTCTGGGTCTCCGGGGGCCTAGCGGCTTCTGGAGAAGCTTGTGGTAGCCCCGTAGCAGGCGGGCACCCATTTCTAGAGTAATCCTAGTTGGCTAGACTTGGAGAAAGAGGACTTGGAGAAAGAGAAACCTAGGGGCTTTCTGTAACTGCCTGGACGTTCTAGAACCAGCAGGGGATCTTTTCCTGAGGCCTGGCAATGTCCAGAGAGGCTCACGTCAGTTCTGGAAGGCAATGCCTTACCCACTGTTCCCAGCATGGATCCAGGGTACTTCTGGACGGCTTCACCCCAAAAACGGAGAACTCCCCCCCCCCTTCTAATGTTGCCTCTGGTCTTTTCTAGAAGAGAAGGACAATCCTCAGGACTGAAAGAACTTAGGGGTAGTCCACAGCAAGCACTCATCCACTCCCCTGCTGTGTTTCTGGAGTGGTTCTAGAGAAGGCCAGGTCTCAGGCCTGTGGAGAATCCTGCAGGGCTCCCCCAGAGGGGATGAGATTCTGGAATTCTAGGAGGATCTCAGGAAGGGAACACTCAGAAGTTCAACACCTCAGCCACTGTCAGAAAGACTGGCAGGACACAAAGTATCTGTCCTGTGAGGTGGGAAATCTGTCCAACCTCTCAGCCTCTGAGAAAAAGAAAGACAAAGGCCCGTTTTTGCAATTTAAAAAGAAAAAAATATATGTTTTTTAATGTTTATTTTTGAGAGAGAGACAGAGACAGAGCGTGAGCAGGGGAGGGGCAGAGAGAGAGGGAGACACAGAACCGGAAGCGGGCTCCCGGCTCCGAGCTGTCAGCACAGAGCCCGACTCGGGCTCGAACTCGCAGATCTAGAGATCATGACCTGAGCTGAAGCCGGGGGCTTAACTGACTGAGCCACCCAGGTGCCCCTTCAATTTTTTTTTTATATGTTTATTTTTGAGACAGAGGCAGAGAGCAAGCAGGGGAGGGGCAGAGAGAGGGAGAGGGAGACACAGAATCTAAAGCAGGCTCCAGAGTCTGAGGTGGGGCTCGAACTCACGAACCGCGAGATCATGACCTGAGCCGAAGTCAGACACTTAACCGACTGAGCCACCCAGGGGCCCCAGAGAGTCTATTTTGAGCAGCTAGACTAAAACGTGGGGCTGTTCCTCCACAGGTCGGGGAGAGGTATGGATGCTGAAATACAGCAGCTCCTGGAGGAAAGCCTTCCAGAAACCTAGAGACTTTTTTTTTTTTTTTTGGTCAAAAACTGCCAAAGACAGGCACTTTACAAGTTGGCTCTGAGTTAAGGTTACCTTTCTTCTCAAGAAAGTTTCCTTCTCTGCAGCTGGGCTGTTGTATGTAACGGGATCGATTTTCTGGAATTGAGCCAGCATAAATAAACATCATGAATGTTTCTTTTGGGCTTGCAGAAAGCTACAGGTATGGGGACCCTTGCCAACCTGAGCTTCCTCTGATTTCACAGAACCACTAAACCCGGTTTCGGGCTTCAAAGGCTCTGTAGGCGCCTGGGTGGCTTAGTCAGTTCAGCCTTCGACTTTGGCTCAGGTCATGATCTCACGGTTCGTGAGTTTGGGCCCCAGTGGGGTTCTGTGCTCACGGCTCAGAGCCTGGAGCCTGCTTCGGATTCTGCGTCTCCCTCTCTCGCTGTCCCCACCCCTCCACCCCCGCTCGACCTCTCTTTCTCTCTCTCAAAAATAAATAAACATTAAAAAAAAAGAATGAAAGGATCTGAAGGTCTGAAAGTATACGGGACCCGGGCTGGCCTGAAACCCAGGCCAGAGCACAAGGTCTGGCCAAGGAGGATAGGATTCTTGACTCAGATTCCAGGACCCCCCTTGGTGCTTTTTTGTAGGGGATGAAGGTACCTAGCTTTCTTACAGACAACTCTGATCGCGTCTCCTACGTACCCAGAAGAACCCAAGCCCCCCTTTTTTTAGTCTTCTCAGGGAGTTTTGAGGGATCATTCACTATTCAGCTGCCACAGGTGGGAGAGAGGGAGGTATGAATTAAAAGTCCACACCACCAAATCCTGTCTCTGCAGGTGTTGTGGAGTCCACTGTGTGTGTGTGTGTGTGTGTGTGTGTGTGTGTGTAAGAGGGGAAATCCAGAACTGCTCACGTCTAGGGGTATTGTCCCTGCTGAGATCTGGCAGCCTCCTGTTTTCAGGCTTGTGTGAGTCGCGGTTCCTGTTTGGTTTTCATGTTTATTCATTTTTGAAAGACAGAGAGAGAGGCAGCGCATAAGCAGGGGTGGGGCGGAGAGAGAGGGGGACACAGAATCCGAAGGAGGCTCCAGTCTCGGAGCTGTCAGCACAGAGCCCGACGCGGGGCTTGAATGGTGAGATCATGACCTGAGCCGAAGCCGGACGCTCAACCCACTGAGCCACCCAGGCGCCCCGCGGTTCCAGTTTTTATGGTGGTTTGATTCTTGATGTAGAAAAGGAGAGAGAGACCTTCCAGGACCCATAGGTCTGAGCCCCAGGTTCTTAGTATTGGCTCTAGGCCTCTTTCTTCTGGAACCCTGGCATCCAGCCCCTCAGCTACGGAGAGAAGGAGGAGGAGGGAGTGAGTAAAGTGTGGAACTGTGGCCAGGGAGACACCTCAGCGCCTCCTGGGAGTTGTAGTCCTGCGGCTAGAAAGGGCCACTTCCCAATTCCGTGGCTTGACGCCAAATATTCCAAAAGATCCCAGGCATCTAGCCGAAGCCTGGGCTCAGAAACTCAGGGACGAGAGGAGGCTGAAGGCCAGATGCCCTCACCTGAGCTGACCAGATGAAACTTCTAGTCTGAGAAGGAGGCCTCTTTGCGATTTCCTGGAACCATAGGCGGAGCCTTCCTTTGTTGCCGTCCAATCGGACTCAGAGCTGGGTTTGTGGGCGGGGCCAAGGAAGCTCCTGGGCGGGTCTCCAGGGAAGTCGCGCCCCCACGTCCGAAGCTAGAAGGGGGAGGCTGTGGGAATTCCTTGTAGATCGGGGGAAACGGTGACTCGGACTCCAGTCACAAAGCTCTCCACATCACGTGACCAACCTCACCTTCGCTCCAGAAACGTCCTCAATTTTAGCCGTGGCAAATAAAGTGGAAGGACGTGACCGGCTCGTCCCCTCTAAAGGCCCTCAGCCTGGACTCGGCCCTTCAGCGAACTCTAGTATTCCAGGGTGCAACATTCAAGGTCAAGGTCGGGCAGCGGCTGTCTAGGGTGCATCGGGACTCCGGACTCCTCGGTTTCCTAACCGAGAAGGGGGAGCCCTGCAAATTGGGGGGTCTTACTCTCGGGGAAGGGGTTCTGATCACCCCTTCCTTCTGGGGTGGGAGGACCCTCCCCGGGTTCTGTGCGGGCTGAGCGCTGTGGCCGCAATGGGTCCCCAAGTAGCCCTCCTGGTGGCGGCGCTAGCCGGCTGCCTGCTTCCTGCCGGGGGCTGTGTCATATGTGATCAGAGGGTCGTGGCCGCGCTGGACGCCTTGGAAAAGGAATACCTGCCTACCCACATGGCGCGCGAGCGTCAGAGACAAGTGATGGAAACGATAAGACAAACCGTGAGAAATTTCTGGGACCTGCCATATTTAGAGGATGCCTTTATGGGGGTTATAGGTGAGGGCAGGGTAGAGCGTGGGAACCCCGGGTCGTGGAAAAAGAGGAGTCTGGTGCTAGGATTCCTGGGAGTAGGGACGGGGTGCGGGGAGGGAGGGAAGGGCCGGAGCCAGAGTCTACTGGGTTCGTGATGGAGAGGGCTGAGATGCAGATTCCAGGGCTTTCCGAGCGCTAGGAAATACTGTGTTCTCCTACCCCTTACCCTGCAATTTTATGTAAAAAACTACAACTCCCAGAAGGCAACAGACAGGCAATCCTTTACAGCCCTAGCCTTGCCCAGTAGCCACATGGGCATTGTAGTTTTTAACACTAGCCGAGCCAATGGGACCACAAGGCTTCGAATCTGAGGTTCGATCTCCCCTCCCCGCATCCCCCGTGTCCCTCCAGATGAGGCCACAATGGAAACGTCAGTGTTGGGTTTTCTGAGGAGTATGACACTTATCACAAACAGTGACATAGCAGGTAAATGGCAGAGTGGCCAGGGGAGGGGCTTCGGAATCCTTTGGCTCTGGAGCCAAACTGCCCAGGTTCAAACACCGGCCCTGTCATCCCCTGGCTGTGTGGCCTTTAGGGAGGGATATCACAGCTTTGTCACCTCCAAACTGGGTCATAACGGTGCCTGCACCCAGGCCAGTGACTTAGCCCAGTGGCCAGCATGGTTAAGTGGTCATTCAATTTCACTGCCCCTCCCGGAGATGGCCCCAACCTGGAACGCCAGCCTCTTCAGACGGGTACCTGTACCTCCTCCTGGGGTGGGTGGGAGGAGGGGTCGCACTCTGTCACCCTGCTCTTTCCCAGATGACACTTTCGTGAAAGAGTTCTCCTGGATGTTGACTCTGGAAAAGGCAGCCTTTCAGCGCAATGTTGCTCGGTTCCAAAGAGAGGGTGAGGGAAGATAGGTTCCCTCAGGGACCACAGCCCCTTCCTCCACCAGTCCCGGGGTCCCTGTCCCCAGTCCTCTGCTTCTCTATGTCCAGCCCCTCACCTCTTCCAACAGCGTCCTCCCTCCAACCCAAGAGCCCAAACCCCAACCTATTCCTTCTCCCCCTCTCTCGTGTCCTTTAACTTAGAAATCTCATAACTTTTTTTTTTTTTTCTTCCTTCTGAGGCAGATTTCTGTCCCAACAAATGTGGTGAGTCCAGATTAGGGAAGCTGGTTTTCTATCCCCCATTCTGGCCCCGGTTAATACCCAGCCTTTCTCCTCCTGCTTTGGGTCTCGATGGTTCTTCCTTCCCCACGTCTGAGAGGTTCCTGGTCCCCAGTGGCCCTTCTGCACAGCGGCTTTCCTGGACAGCGGGTCCTATTCCATGTGGGCTCCTCGCTGAGCCCGGTTAGGTCCCTCTTCCGGCAGGTCTGCCTTCTAGCCCCGCCCCTTGGGCTGACCTCTCGGGATTAGGCGCTGGGCCCCGCCCCAGCCCTTGACCCTGCTCTCTCTTTTTAGTCTCTTCTATCAGGATAAATGCAACCTTGATCCTGCCCCTTCAGGTATGATGTTGCAGCCTCTGATCTGGTGCAGTAATTGTAAAAAGCAGCTTCACGTTTGTCGAAAGTCCACAGACTGCGGTGGTGAGAGAGCTGAGCCAGCTGGAGGGGGTGGGGGGTTGGCGCAAGAGGGGCGGAGCCAGAGGAGAGCCGGGATCTAGAGAGGCCAAAGAAAGGAGCCGGCCCACCAGAAAAGTGGGAGGGAGTTGAGGGAGAACCAAGATGCATCCCACCGTAACCGCCTGTCCCCAGTGCGCCAAATCAACGTCCACGAAAAGGAAGACTTGGTCCTGGACTGTGAGCTCAACTGGCATAAATTATCTCAAGGCCTGACCTATTACAGCTTTTACAGGGTGGGCCCTTCAACCCCATCAACCCCAAGTCCATTAGGCTTGGTTGAGCGCCCACCCCGGTATCCACAAGCTTGTTCCCACAATCCCCATGACCCATGACCTACCGGGTTTGACTTCTACGGGTCCCCGGGGACCCCATGCCCTTACCAGTGACCCTAGACTCCCATCTCCCCCACTGAGATCCCGTGATGCCCTCACACCTGTACTTCCCCAAACCCTGAACTCCCCAGGCCTCTGTGACCCCTTGAGCTTGGGTCTAGGTTTGGGGGAGCAATTCTGAGACCTTGGTGTACAAGGGGAAACAGCCCACCCTGACCAAGCCCCTGGTGGGGCCAGAGGATGCAGGTGACTACCGCTGTGAGTTGGGCACTGTGAGATCCCTCCCAGCCACGGTCATCCATTTTCAGGTCACAGGTCAGAGCTGGGGAGTCGACGGAAGTGTGGGAATCAGGGTCCTGGGGTTAGGGGACAGTCAGCTTGGGGCATGGCCTATGGGGCAAAACTTCCTGTCGGGGTGTCATTTCAGGCCACGGGGGTGTGGCCACCCGCCACGGTGGCCGGGGCCCAGGCAGATAGGGTCGCGATTGTCTCCTCCAAGGCCCGGGTCTTGGGGGAAGGTTGGAGGGGGGGGGGAGCTTGCCTGGGCCACGGGGACCTTGGTGGCCTCCCAAGGCTGCTCTTTCTCTCTCCTCTATCAGTGTTGCCTCAAAGAATCATTGAGGAGACACCGACATCAAACTTTGAAACCGGGGAGCAGCTGTCCCCAACCCTCCAGCCTTCAGAGTACCCTAAGCCCGAGAAGGTGCTGAGAAGCGTTCTGGGAGGGCTGCTGATCTGGGGCTTTGTGGTGCTGATCATCAGCTTTGTCACCGCGTGAGCCAACCCTGATGAAGGCGGGGCACGAACAGAGGGACGGGCTCTCCAAATCCCAATGCGGGAGGGGGTCCTTTAAGGGAGAGGCCTTAGAAAATGGTAGTGACGATCCAGCCTGGGTCATTGCTGGAATAAGACCAAATATAGGGAGGCGAGGAGGGCTATCCCTCAAGACCTAACCTGGTTCCACTATCATCCCCCACCCTCCCCCAGCGTACTTTGCTTTCTGCCTGGGAACGTGATGGATTCCATAAAGTCCTGGTTCCTCACTAACAAAGTAGCTGCCCTGCAGAGCCAGGTTCCGAAGGCACCGAAAGAAAACGACACAGCATCAAGTCACAAATAAAGATTTATCTGGTTGCCTAAATACAGGATTCATTTCCTCGGGTCTGATCCTCATTTTGGCTTTCCGAGAGGAGAAGCCTGGGGCTCGCCTCCTGTCCTAGAAGGAGAGCCCGGGAACCCGGGTCCCTTGGTCATGGCAGGGCCCCCTGGCCTACCCAGATCTCCTCCCCCAGCCTCGCCCCCTCACAGGACGCCCCCTCCCCGCTCTTCCAGCCAGAGTTTCCTCTGGCCTTTTCCTGTCCCCCAGCCAGTGCTGGGAGCCAGGGCAGAGGGGTCAAGAACCAACCCGGGTCAACGAAGACAGGGCGCCGAGGTGCTGTTGGGACCCGAAGCAGAGCAAGAACCGCGGGACCAGGGGTCCACACCCCTCCTGCATCAGACCCAAGAGCAGGTCCCCAGCCATCTTCCACGCCAGTTCCCAGGAGTTAAGCTCCCATCCGTCTCCTCCACCCAGACTCCTTACTCTGACCCCAGCCCCCTCCAACCCCAACGCGACCACACAAGGGCCTCATCTGGGAGGATGAGATGAAAGTTCTAGTCAGAGAGGGGTCGGTCTGCGAGAGCCTGGAACAATAGGCGGGGCCTCCCTTTGTTGCCGTCCAATCAGACTCAGAGTTGGGTTTGTGGGCGGGGCCAAGGAAACCCGCCCAGAGTGTCTCTAGAGAAGTCGGCGCCCCAAGGAGAAAGGAAGAAGAGGGACTCTGTGGGATTGAGGCGACCTTCGAGTCTGACTCCAGTCATAAAGCTCTCCGCGTCACGTGACCAACCTCACCCTCGATCCACAACATCCTCAATTTTAGCCGTGGCAAATAAAGTGGAAGGACGTGGCCTGCTCGTCCCCTCTAAAGGCCCCCAGCCTGGATTCGGCCCTTCAGCGAACCCTAGTATTCCAGGGTGCAACATTCAAGGTCAAGGTCGGGCAGCGGCTGTCTAGGGTGCATCGGGACTCCGGACTCCTCGGTTTCCTAACCGAGAAGGGGGAGCCCTGCAAATTGGGGGGTCTTAATCTCGGGGAAGGGGTTCTTTCCGGTCAGCGATCACCTCCTCCGAGTGGGGTGGGAGGACCCTCCCCGGGGTTCTGTGCGGGGCTGAGCCCCCTGGCCTCAATGGGTCCCCAAGTAGCCCTCCTGGTGGCGGCGCTGGCCGGCTGCCTGCTTCCTGCCCGGAGCTGTGTCACTTGTGATCCAAGGGTCGTGGCCGCGCTGGACGCCTTGGAAAAGGAATACCTGCCTACCCACCTCGCCCCCGAGCGTCACAGAGAAGTGATGGAAAAGATAAGACAAACCGTGAGGAATTTCCGGGACCTGCCAGATTTAGAGGATACCTTTCTGGGGGTTATCGGTGAGGGCAGGGTAGAGAGTGCGAATCCAGGGGTCGAGGGAAAAGAGGGGTCTGCGTTCTAGGATTGTTGCGGGAGCAGGCAGGAGGGAAGGAAGCGAAAGACTGGAGGGAGACTGTACTGGGTTCGTGAATGGAGAAGGCTGGGATGCAGATTCCCAATACACTTTCCCCTAGTCCTTACGTGGCAATTTTATATGGAAAAAAAAAAATACAACTCCCAGAAGGCAACGGGCGTGCCAGCCATTTACAGCCCTGGGCTGGTCCAGTAGCCTCATGGGTATTGTAGTTTTTAACACCTGCTGAGCCAAGAGACCTCAAGGCTTGGGATCTGAGGTTCTAGCTCCCCTCCCCGCATCCCCTGTGTCCCTCCAGATGAGGCCACAATGGAAACGTCAGTCTTGAGTTTTCTGAGGAGTGTGAGACTTATCAGAAACAGTGGTGTAGCAGGTAAATCCACACAGGGGCCAGGGGATGGGGCTTCAGAAACTTTTCGAGAAATGTTTTTTGGTGAGGACGGGTCTGGTGGTGGCTCTGGAGCCCACCTGCCTCGGTTCAGCTTCCCGCCCAGTCACCCCTTGCTGTGTGGCCTTTAGGGAGGGACTTTGCAACTTTGTCACCTCTCAAATGGGTCCTAACAGTGCCTGCAGGCCAGGGGCCGCTTAGCTCAATGGCCAGCATTGTTAAGTGGTCATTCAATTTCATTGTCCCTCCCTGAGGTGGCCCCAACGCGGAATGCCAATCTCTTCACACAGAAGGAACTTCCTGCATCTCCTCCTGGGGTGGGTGGGAGGAGGGGAAGCACTCTATGTCATCCTGCTCCTTCCCAGATGACACTTTCGTGAACGAGTTCTCCTGGATGTTGACTCTGGAAAAGGCAGCCTTTCGTGGCTACGTCACTCGATTCCAAAGAGAGGGTGAGGGAAGATGGCTTCCGTCAGGGACCACGGCCCCTTCCCTCAACAGGCCCAGGGACCCTGTCCCCAGCCCCCTGCTTTCTATGTCCAACCACTCACCTCTCCCGACCCGGTCCTCCCTTGGACCCAGAGATTCAGACACCCGGGTCCTTCTTCCCTCCAACCCAACAGCCCACCCCCCAGCCTATTCCTTCCTCCCGCCCCCATCCCCTTTAACAGGAATCTGATAATTCTCTTTTCTTCCTTCTGAGGCAGACTTCTGTCCCAACAAATGTGGTGAGTCCGGATCATGGGACCTGGCTTTCTATCCTTCATCCTTGCCCCGTAAATACCCAGCCTTTCTCCTCCGGCTTTGGGTCTCGGTGCTTCTTCCTTCCCCACGTCTGAGAGGTTCCTGGTCCCCAGTAGTCCTTCCGCACAGCGGACTTCCTGGGCAACGGGTCCTATTCTCTGGGCGCTCTTTCCTGAGACTGGTTCCACCCCTCTTCAGGGAGGACTGCCTTCTAGCCCCGCCCCTTGGGCTGACCTCTAGGGATTAGGGGCCTGACTCCGCCCCAGACCTTGGCCCTGCCTTTAGCCTCGCCTCTCAGGGCGAATACAGCCTGGATCCTGTCCCTTCAGGTACAATGCTGCAGCTTCTGATCTGGTGCAGTAACTGTAAAAAGCAGCTTCACGCTTGTCGAAAATCCAGAGATTGTGGGGGTGAGAGAGCTGGGGCCAGCCGCAGGGGTTGGCCCAAGAGGGGCGGAGCCAGAGGAGAGACGTGGCCTAGAGAGGGCGGGGACTGGAGCGGAGGGTGGAGACAGAAAGGGGGGCTCAGACAAAGTGGGTGGCACTGGCGGGAGGGCAGGAAACCTCCAAGAAGTGTCCCACCGTAAATCCTGTCCCCAGTGCGCCAAATCAACGTCCATGAAACGGAAGACCTGATCCTGGACTGTGAGCTCGACTGGCATAAATTATCTCAAGGCCTGACCTATTACAGCTTTTACAGGGTGGGCCCTTTAACCCCAAGTCCATAAGGCTTGTGTGAGCGCCGACCCCCTCATCCACAAGCTTGTTGCCACAATCCCCATGACCCATGACCCACCAGGTGTGACTTCTAGGGATCCCCGGGGACCCCATGCCCTTACCAGTGACCCTGGACTCCCATCATCCCCACTGAGAGCCCGTGATGCTCTCACACCTGTACTGCCCCAAACCCTGAATTCCCCAGGCCTCTGTGACCCCTTGAGCTTGGGTCTAGGTTTGGGGGAGCAATTCTGAGACCTTGGTGTCCGAGGGGAAACGGCCCACCCTGATCAAGCGACTGGTGAGGCCAGAGGATGCGGGTATCTACCGCTGCGAGTTGGGCACTGAGCGATCCGGCCCAGCCACGGTGACCCATTTTGAAGTCACAGGTCAGAGCTGGGGAGTCGACAGACGTATGGGACTCAGGGTCCTGGGTTTGGGGGGCAGTCAGCTTCAGCGAGCGCCCTGGGGGGCCTAACTTTCTGTCGGGGTGTGGTTTCAGGCCAAGGCGGGAGGGGGGGGGGGGGCTTCCTGCCCAGGGTGCGGTCACCTCTCACAGTGGCCTGGCTTCAGGCAGTGAGGGGCGTGCTTATCTCCTGGGAGGCCTGGTTCCTGGGGAAGGGTGGCGTGGACAGAGCTTGCCTGGGCCACGACCGGCCCTCCCAGGACTGCTCCTTCTCTCTCCTCTGTCAGTGTTGCCCAAAAGAGTCATTGAGGAGATCCCGAAATCAAAGCCCGGGACCCAGTATCAGCGGTTCCGATCCCTCAAGCCGTCAGAGTGTCTGAATCCCAAGGACGTGCTGAGAGGCTTTCTGTTCGAGATGCTGATCTGGGGCTTTGTGTTTCTGATCCTCGGCTTTGCCACCTCGTGAGCCGCCTCCCGGAGAAGGCAGGGCTTGGGGCGAGGGGCGGGGTCTCCAACGTCCTGACGTAGGAGGAGGTGTTAGGGGGAGGGGCTTAGAAAAGAGGGGCGTGCTTACCCAGGGCGGCGAAGCTTGGGTCATAGAAAAGGATCAGATATAGGGAGGCTGGGAGGGGTGTCCCTCACTCAGGACCTAATCTGCTTACACGATCGCACCCCACCCTTCCCCAGCGTACTTTGCTTTAGGTCTGGGACCCTGATCGATTCGGTCAAGTCCTGGGTCCGTACCGACAAGGCAGCAGCCCCAGAGGACCAGGGTCCACAAAGTCGGCTGTCACAGACCCAGCTATCACAGAGCCAGGTGTCACAGACCCAGCTTCCCAAGGTACCGAACGAAGAAAAGGCCACAGCACCAAGGCTTAAATAAAGATTTATCTGGTTGCCTAAATATCGGATTCATTTTCTCCGGTCAGATTCTCA